TTTATGGAAAAAATATGTTTGAAAAAGATAAACTGCAATGTACTATTTGTGGGAAAAAATAATAAAGGTCATTATTATTATTATGGGTAATGTGGACTAACAGTGCTGCTATAAAAGAGTTAATAACCCGCTAGTCGCTAAAATATTGAAATGTGTGCTAAATACATCAAAAAGCGCTGGATTAAGCTAGGTGCTAAAATTTCGAAATGCGCGCTATACATACCAAAAAAGCGCTTAATCTAGTTCCCAAAGCGCTAAAATGGCAGTACTGATTTTGCGTATATTATAAATACAATATCACGACATTTCGTTGCAAAATTTTTATTTTTGGTCGGGTTCCGTTGTATGGCTTCGATGGATACAAATTTCTTCAGTAAGTCTCAATACGATTCATCGGCGAAAAATCTCAACACAGCAATTCAGAAAAGTTTGTAATTTGTACAACTCCATCTATTACGTCCTTTGTGTGAGAAAACATCCTTTTTAAATCTCTTTTTGTGTTTTAAGTATAAATATATTAATTATTATGGAAGGTTTTTTTTACACACAAATCTTTTTATTACTATTTCTGAAATTTTATGGCGCCATTGAACAAATTCGAACCTACATTTCAAAATAATAATCATTACTTTCGATAGAATTAACCAATTTTAATAAAACAAAGATTAAATGTAACTTGAAGATACGCTTTATGATTTTCTTAACGATTTCTTTGAAAATAAAAGATGTTTACTTTAGACGTGATGCGTTCATATAATAACAGACAAATAGACAGACAGACAATTCTAAAAATTATAAAATGTTCTTATTTAATTATTTTCAGTTCCCCATAATGATTTTAGCCACCAAAATATATATACAATGTACAGAAAGAGACACAACATGTTATCATCATTTTTATTATATGTATATATTTAAAGAGAGATGGCGCTGCTAACATCAATTCTATAATAAAAGAGATTAATTGACGCGATGGATACATTATATAAAACGCAAGAGAACTTATAAGTCAGTGCCTGCACAGTAAGCAAAAAAAAAGTTTGACTCTCGCCAAAACCAACGCAATTGTTAATAGCTCTTTTAAAATTTGATTTACCACATAGAGTACTCGGCGGTAAAGAATAAATTGAGTTTGTCAACACGCAGTAGGGCAGCGAGTAATATAATAAAGATTAGCAGTAAATATGAAAACTCATTTACAGGAAGAAACCACATTGCAATTGCATTACATTTTCACAACACCACCATCTATCGAAGAAATGGGAAAACTATTGTGCTTCAGATTTAGTTAATAAGGTTAATATATTTTTTTGATATTTTTGTATATTATATTTAATACGTTCTTTAATACTTTTGTTTACTGCGTTTTAGATATACATAATTATATCATTATTTTACATAATTTAACTATGATTTATGATATGATATTAGTTTAAAATGCACTTGATGACTCAAACAAAGCCACCGTTGAGCAAATTCGTACCTATACTTCCCTACCCATACTTCAGAATATTTATCATAACTTTTGATGGAATGAACTGATTTTAATGAAATAAAGACTAAATGTAACACGAAGATACACTTTATAATTTCCTTAACAATTCTTATGATATAAATTAGTACTTTATACGTGATACGTTAACAAACAAACAGACAGACAGACAGACAGACAGACAGAAAATTCTAACAATGGTAGAAATGTATTTAATTACTTATTTTTAGTACCCCTCAATCACTTTTATTACAAAAATATAAAATGTACAGACATCTGCTATTTACAGTTTTATTATATGTATAGATTCACTCCGGACTTCTTACAGTGTAAACATAAAATTTAAATATAACTCCACCGAAGCACTACCTTTCGGGCTCAGATTTTCTGATTTCATTTAATTTTGGTCAATAAATAAAGAATTTGTTAATTAACTTGACTACGGCGTCACCTATTGGGTCCTAGTGTTAGCTATGCAAACAAATACATGTTTTGTCGAGACGATGATTAATGATATGGTAGTGTGAATATGATATCATTCAGTCAAATCGTTCAGAGTTACACGATCGAGTATCAACAGCTGAAAAGTGACTGCCAAAGCCAATACTGTTTACGGATCGTTTAGATGGTGATCTTTTAGTTGACTGACTCATAGATGGGCGAAGGCATTAGAATTTAAAGGGGAGACCTTAGTGGTTAATTTGGACACAGCGAAGGCGTTCCAATCGTGTTCAGCACAAAGCGTTTATTTTAAAGCTTCCATTCTATAGGCTTCCCGAAAATTATATAATAGGATCACCAGTTTCCCCGCAGGTCAAAGCATCAAGGTCGTATTAGACGGATCATGGTCCATATCTATAATATGTATACTCTGCATATCAATAACATGATACAAACCAGTTCGCTTGCAGATGACAACACTGGTGATGCTTTTTACACTGGCCGTGCCAATACTTCTTGGGAACACGTTGTCAAGTGCCGGTACAAACTTCACACACAGTCAAGCCGTCGTTAAACAAATTCTCAGATTGGGTACAACTGAATCTGGTTGAGTATAACCTTTAAATGACACAGATTTGCGCGTATACCGCTAAGAAAAATACTGGTGTCGTAATTTCACAGCATTGCCCTTGTTGTCTCGGCTAGCATCAGAATCCTTACTTTTACATTATCGAGTGATATTCAGTTCCGCGGTCCCTAAAAAAAGAAAGATAAATTGACCTCTAAAATGTTTGACGTGATATGTACCTGTAATTAGACTGTATTTCTGTACGGACACACTGCTTGCAGCTTTAGCTTCTTCTTCTGCGTAAGTTCGGCCTCACGTGGAATACTGTTTTCATCTCTGGGCCGGGGCACCTTAGTGCCAGCTCATTGCACTTCGAGTTTTTCTTCGCTTTCTAAACGGCTATTCACAGACGCTCCGAAGAGATGAGTGCTCTGAGGAACAGTCTGGATTATTTCCAGACGCCAAATTCCAACATCGTAGATCCCGTGGAATCGGCAACAATCATATGATTTTTCCAGATTGATAGGACTAAGGGACTTTCAAGAAACGAGCTTACTTCTATTTAAAACTCGGTAATGCACCTGCTATTCTATCGGTGTTATACTCATTAGACGTTTTACTAATATATACCTACCGAGAACTTTTGAATGATGGCCATTTTCCTATATGGGCGTTTCGCTAATTGGTATTATTGCTTAATCATTTCGCCGTTAGAGGTTCTCCTACGGAGACCTTTTGATAGTAAACCATTTTTATGCACATATAGAGATTTGACATTGACATTGATAAGATGGCATCAATAATGTCAATCTCTGCAAAAGTGAGGTTAAAATTAGCAGAAATTCACGTATTTGTAATTATTTTAAATTCAATTGCTTTGCATTCAGGTGATTGATATTATAAATTAGATATTATAATGTGATCATTTTTCTCATCCATTAAAGTACAAAGTACAAAAAATTATTTGTACCCTGCTATAAAATACAGCTTTTAGACAGCTAAACATTTCAAAATCTATCATTTCAATCAAAAAGTTTAAACCTAATGCTAAAGTGTATAATAATGAGTGTTTTCTTTCTGAGGTAAGTTATATTTAAGTACTACACAATTAATTACGTCTACTGAACACTAATTTCCACAGTAAAACCCGAGATTTCACAAATACAAGCGGGCTTTGTTTTGTTCACGAATGGCGCCAGGCCGAAACAGGTCGATAGCGTGCACGTGAATGGTCTCGCCTAATTTTCTTGCCCCAACATACGCGTACACTAGACTTTACTTTTGCATTGCCAATCTGTTCTAACGTCAGTTTATACTAAATGCATGGTCTATGAGTATATTTATCGCTTGTTATATATAGCAATTGCAATGATCTTTCTTTCGATTTTATCGCGGAATCATTAGGAACTTTAAACTATTTTGTAGAATTTGTGCGTACAGTTTCAATAGAAATATGAGAAAAGGTCTCATGTCACCAAGACTAACGAAAGTCTAATGCTGAACAAAGGGCATGAATTGCCTCATAGGTGGGATATTTGCCATAGTTGCGACGCTTGGCAGGCGAATTTGCAAATGCAGTTTTATTATATGTGTGTTATTAGGAAGATGCTGCTGCCCATGTCCTGTTCCTTGTGGCCCCTTACGATACTAACGGAAAGATATGGGCTAGTGGATTCTCTTGCGCCGCTATTACACAGCGATGTTCAAGACAACTTATTCAAACACTAGATGTATACGAGTATATATGGATATATTTATACCTATCATTCAGTTCCAATAATTAGGAAAATGGGTAATGCGTCCACAGTTCTATTTACTAAAATTTAAAAATATCACCAACCTCCTTTGTTAGTTAATATGTGTGTCTAATGATTTAGAAGGGTAATATTAATCTTGCTGTTTTTATTATGGCAATAATAAATATTCAATGCAAATTCAATGCAACAATAAGTAATTTAAAACAAATTATATTGCAAAGTCGTCATAGTTGAGTGCAAGGGATTACAATTACAAATGCCAATCATGTCTGCTCTCGGTGCGCTAACAAACGAGACGAACAAATGGAAAAAGATCCATTCAAAAACTAAATTACACAAACGGGTTGGAGGGAGCAGACCTATCGTATTACCAGTAGAAATGTAGCGGTCTACGCTCACCAACCCCGCCTACGCAGCGAGATTAGTATGATCCAATTTTTGCAAAGTTACACACCAGTTCAAGTTGTATTATACCAGTCGCGCATTTTTAAAAGTTCTTTATCAAGCGGTGGATTACATAAGAATTGAAGTAGTAAATATAAGTGTATATAGCTTATGGAATATTTTTCAATATTGTTTCTTATTATAATAATTTCATCACGATGTGAGATAGTAGTAAAGCGCTGGCTTAAAAAAAGTATTAAATCATAATAGTTATTTATTATTTTTCATCCAAGAACCTTGGCAATAATAATTATTATTCACTATCTACGAACTGCATAAAACTAAATCAAAATATTACCTCCAAACTGAGTGAGACTGTCGGCTCTCAGACGATATTTTGGTATGTGTTCTTGCAAGAGACTGACGATTTCTACCTCAGGCACCTCCTCGCTATTGCACACCTCTGCCAACAAAAATTGATTATTATTTATTATACATAAAAACCTGTACAATTGATAAACTACGTAAATCAAACATATCTATCTAACAATAAGTATAATATCATCAACATATTTTGAAAGAAATAAAATTTTACTTATACAATGAAAACGAAAACTACATTTATTATAAAAGAATAGAATAAAGATATGTCGAGTGAAACTAAGGTTATTAGAAATCCTTAGGTTTGAAAAAGACGTCGTGACTTAGTACTTGAACTTGAGCAAAGTACCTAACTTCGAATAATGAACGTATTGAACACAGACGTCTACTTTCCGTATTAAACATGGAGGCAGCAGACAGGATCGATATTGCTCCCTCCCAACACGACGTACCTACTCTAGATGACGCGGTGGACCGCGCCATCTGTGGGGACAAACATCCCAAAAACCTCCGCCATTATTAATATATCAGTACATTACAATGTACACGTAAAAATCAATATACAGCGTAATCACAAATATTTTCTTTGAACAGAAAATAAAAACCTCGAATTTAATTTGCTATAGGTACCCAATCGGCACATCTCATCAGATCGATAAATTCTATCTTACCAACCTCATTCGTAATACAACATTAATTATGTCCCTAAAAAATTATATTTTATTCTGTAGAAAAGAACACGGCTTTTTAGTCGACTTCAAAAAAGAAGGAGTTCTTCAATTCAACTGTGTTTTTTTAATGCATGTAATATTACGGGATAACATCATCAACTGTAACGGATTTAATGATTATTTTTAATTAAGTACGTAATACTTCCTATATACGTGAGAAAAAATTCATCTGGGGATATCGTTTAAACTTAGATAGTTCAACCATCCCGAGAATCTATACAAATAAAAATAAATAAAATTGAAGTGTCTGTTTGTAATGTCAAAATAACAGCTTTTTACTAAATGCATATGAAAGTAAATACGGTACTTATAATTATCATACAATTTTTAAAATTTTTGTCTTTCTGTCTGTCTGTCCGTCTGTCTGTCTGTCTGTTTGTTTGTTCCGGTTAATCTCTGAAACGGCTAGACCGATTTTGACGGGACTTTCACTGGCAGATAGCTGATGTCATAAGGAGTAACTTAGGCTACTTTTATTTTAGAAAAAGAATTAGGGTTCCGCGCAAAAAAAAAACCTAACACGCGAGCTAAGTCGCGGGGAACAGCTAGTTATAAACTAAGATGTTTTTAAAGTATAGATCGTCATACTCGCTCTAAAATGGCAATACGAAAGTCAGGTAATTACCCGACTCGCATTCAGTCGGGCACGGTCTCGCGTCGCGGCTATACCTTTGCTACAGCGCGTAAATCTTCCAGTTATTCGTGGCAAAAATGCCTTCCTGTGTTTTTAGGTGGTGCACAAATTACACGGCAACTGTTAGAGACAAGAAAAACGTCTCATTAATATTTTGAATATAGATGTTTTGTTCATAATTTGTTTTATTATTTCAACACTAACCGCTAGTGTAAACTTTGACGCTAGCTAGTGTGTTCATTTCCATATCGGTATGTCACGCGCTCGCGCCAATGAGCGCTCAGCAGCAATCATTACGCAACTAATGATGTATATTCATCTTTTTCTAACGATAGGTATGTATATTGGTCTCTTTTTGTTAGCGCAACGTGTCATAATAAATAACTGTACGTAGATATAGCACTACCTGCGCCACTTTAAAATACAATAATATTAGTGTGTAACCTATCTTTTTTAATACGTCTTTGGTTATAAATAAGATCGGTAAGCACCGAACAGAAATGTTCACCATCAGGGACAAAAAGGTTAACCTATAAGTACATCGGTTTATATCACGGTCGATGCAAATGTTTATAGGCAAAACATTTTTTTTAAATTGATGTTGTTTACGATGTTATTTACCGTTACCGGTACAGCCTATTAAAGTGCACTGCTGAACATAGGCTTCTCCCATAGATTGCCTCATAGGGGGTATTATGCCGTAGTTACCACGCTTGGCAAGTGGGTTATATTATCAGGAATAGGCTACCACCCCATGTGTTTATTTTCGCTGCGTCGCCTCTTACGACACCCACAGGACGATATGGGTTAGTGGATATTCTTATACCACCAATACACGGTCAATAAGTAGGGGGTATTTTGCCGTAGTTGCCACGCTTGGCAGGTGGGTTGTTATGTTATCAGGAAAAGTTGCCACCCCATCTCCTGTTTATTTTCCCTCCGTCGGCACTTACGACACCCACGGGACGATATGGGTTAGTGGATATTCTTACGCCTCCACTGCACGGTGAATATGCAACATTTATAAAATTTTGTAAATATGAAAAGTTTGGATTTGTAATTTTTCAAAGAATATTTTAATTTTTTCCATCTCTCACTTTCACCATCAAACAAGCATACGCTCAGCGAGTAGGTATCCACCCCGTTGTTGTGGGCATACCACGCGTTTCCTTCGTCGTTCATAATGTATATGTAGTGAAATAATTTAGCAGCCTTGTCTGTCTTTCTATCCGGTTACAAAGTCTTCAAGGCAAGATATAATAGGCTTTTGTCTATAGCTATGTCGGTGACCTTTACACAATATTGAGCTACATCACCACTTTCCTTCAAGTGGGTTAGTAATGAAGCACTGGCTAATAACAGGTAAAAAATCGTCCTCTGGTTATAATAAATAAGGAGGATTTATACTTTTGTTGTAGCACGAATGTGTCGGCTCGACCGGGGAAGGACCACGCTCTCACAGAATACCAGCGTAAAATAGCAGCCTATGCTGTGTCATATGGTGAGTATAGATAGCTGGAGACCCTTTTTACTGGATACAAAGCATTCCATCTAAGTCCTCAGGGGTGACAACGCATCTGCATTTTGAGACTTAATCGAGGATAGATGTAGATTTCTATGGGCTACAGCATCCACTTATCATCAGGTGAACTCTGTGCTCGTTTCTCACCCTAAAAAAAAAACACTGCTATTGTCAATCCATTTGTTTTAAAAAATCAATGATTAATAATTATTATGATTAGTAATACAATGGAAGAAGCCCATTGTAAAGAAGTGGAATGTTACGGACTGGTGTTACTCTTACACTATGACGTCAAAAGTAAGTTTAAATAGTATTAAAAACCCGGGGAAGTTTTAGTACCAGAAAACCTTATATGTATAGTATTTTAAGCAGACTTCAAAAAAGGAAGTGGTTCTCAATTTGACTGTACCTTTTTTCCCTTTTTACCCAACTGCCCCAGAAGAAAGGTAATCTTTTTCGAGTGTGTGTATGTAGGTATAATATATAGACTTATTCCTAGGTTCGACTTTGATTTTTTTTTGTCTATTGTTTTCTGTGCTAAGCTTGCTTAATATGTACCTATACTCTAAGATGCTAAAACATAGTGAATAGAAAAATTAAAGACCGGACTTCAGAAGTTAATATACTTTTTTTTTATTATTTGATGTCAACTATTCCTTTTTACTAAGTTTTTTTACAAAAATATTCGAATATTAGAATACAAAAATATTCGCTGTATATGATACTACAACGAATTTTAATCAACTAATGGTCGTCCAGTAGTTGAAAGTCGACCACAATTCATTAAATTTTTGTTTGTATATTTAAATAATAATATTAGGCAAGCTGTATTTCACTTTCAACTCTCAGCATATTATAATATATGTATTGATATATAATTGAGGTATAATGTACTACGTACTAGAGAAGCTATTCCAAACAAAAAATGTGCGCTACTCTATGTCTTCGCGCATGCGCGGTAAATAGCTGTTGGAGTTTTGGCGGGAACTTGACCAGCGTCGGTTTGCTGCTCCTATATTACTGTTTAAAATAATGGTTCGAAGTGGACTTTGATATGTAAAAGTTGTGCGATTTTGTGTGTATTAAGTGTCTGCGCATGTGAACTATTAGTGGAAACGGTGAAACAAGTGCTCCGATGGCGATGTGATTCTCAAAATAAGATGTCTGTCTGCTTAGGCGCCTTGAGATACCATCGCCAACCGTCAGCTGCCTGCTGACTCAATTTGCCGTCAAAATCTCCCAAGGGCTGCACAATGTGACGCATCAACATATTGTGAAGCAGTATACTATGAAGGATAATTATTAAATATATTGTAACTTCAGGCTCAGAAGGGCTAGGATCCCAGAGCCGTAAAGCCAGTTATTACGAAGAAGAAGCGGTAAATAGTAGAGTCGCGCATGCGCGGTTTTTGTCATCATAAATTATACGTATAGGTAGAATGATCAGTATGTAATAAGTAATTGTTTATTTAGATTGTATTGTAAATTATATTGAGTACAATTTTTTTGTTATTTATTTTGCATTTATGTGTTAATTTAATATAATGTAACATAATATTTTGACAGAATTACATTTTAATGATATTTTATTTAATACTTTAAAAGGTAAATATGTAAAATATAAAAATATGAATTTATTTTCAAAGATCATTATTATTACTTTTCTAGAATTCTCTAACGTATTTATACGCAGCTGGTGAATAATAGTGTAAAATCAATGCGAATTTACGTTAAGGTGCATGCAGTGTATTAATAAATAATGCGTGCTCTGTTTATTCTTTTTCATTAAAGATTCATGTAACTCCACAACTTCTGCTTTAGCCATTAAATCAATCTCAGCATTTAGTTTGAGACCGAGTTTATATTTAAAATGTTGTCCAATTGATTTGTAAGAAGCGCATTTTTCTTTAGATAAATATTTTGGCTTTGTATTTTCTTAAATTTCTCAGTAAGTTTCTTTCTAGCTGCAGATTCCTTGCTATTAAATACAAACACAATATTACAACGTGCTAATATTTTATTATTTTTATAATGACCTAGAATTATTGATTACGTTACGGTAGAATTATAAGGTAGAACTATATTTAAAAACTTAGGCTTCGTATACATCACTCAAATTAGGCTTAGGAGACATCACTTTCGTAATTTATTTGTAGGTAAAATTTTGCTCGGACTATCAATAATTGATTCAGACA